AAAAAAAAAATCCAGCCTCACACAGATAGGTAGTTGGAAAGGGGAGGAGCATTTTAATAGGCAAATAACATCACAGCATTATTATGAAAGTAGTTTTGATCACTGCGGTCCCTTCCAGCTCTAAGTTTCTGATCCTATGATTCTAGGACACTTCCCTCCCTGGGCCTCAGTTTCTTCATCTGTAGAATGAAAGGATGGGACTAGATGAGGTCCCTTCTAGCTCTGAATCTGTGGTCCCATGATACCCTGATTCCAAAGCTCTGAGTTGGTATTGTCTATATGGTTCTCAGGGACTCTAAGAGGTCTTCAGACCGTACTTTGGAAGCTGCTGATCTAATCCAACCCCTCATTTTACAGATGAGGAAACTGAGGCCCAGAGATTGAAATCCAGGTCTTCTCCTTACAAATCTAGTCCTTTTTTTTTTTTTTACCCCCATTAGACTCTATTGTGCCTGGCATGTAGGCAAGGATATGCTCCAGCTAGTGGCTGATATTCAAGGCCACAGGCACTCCTTAAAAGAACTGGGTGAATGCCATTTCCTGGCCTGGGTGTCTGCCCAGGTACCTCTAGGCTGGTATCTCAAGGAACGAGAAGCCTGTTGTCTGGGGACTGCCTACAACTTAGCGGATGGAGCCATGGAGAAAGGATTTAGTCTATTCTGAAAATGTCACCCCAGTAACATCTTCAAGCCAAGGGATCAAGCAAAGCTATCCAAGGTCACCTAATCCCAGGACCCAAAATGGGAGCCAAAGGCTTTCTTTGGAAGCCAGGCCAACAACGGCTCTTTTTTTTTTTTTTTTTTTTTTTTTATCATCTGCCTTTCAGCAAAACCAGAGCCAGAGAGACAAGCTCCACTGAGGGTTTTGGAATCAGGACATCGTAGGGTCATAAATTGAGAGCTGTAAGGGACTCAGAAGCTGTCTAGTCCAACCCCCCATTTTACAGATGAAGAAACTGAGGCCCAGGAAGAGAAAATGACTTTGAAGCTTAGGATCATGGCTTTAGACCTAGAAAGGAGCTTAGAGATGGTCTATGACTACTGCACTTTAACAGATGAGAATATATCAGCCCAGCGGTTAAGCGACATGCCCAAGGACACATAGGTGCTAAATGTCTGTGGGGAGGGGGGGTGGGCGGGATTTGGACCCAGGACTTCTGATTCCAAAACTGCACTTCATCGTAGAGAACCAGGATGCTGTTTACCACAAAGCAGAGCTGGGATCCCAGGGAGAGTCTGAGTGGCAGCTCCGGTGTTTCCCAGCGGAGAGCCATTTCCTCCTTGAGCCCTGGGGGGGTCTCCCCAGATCATCCCAGGCATTGGGGAGCGTTTCCCCATGGTGCTCCACCCACACCACAGCAGTGCCCAGTGGCCCAGCCACACGAGAAACCGCAGTCCCCCACAGAGAGAAACTTCCCTAAATTCAGCAGGCAGCCGCTGGAGCAACTGTTCCTGGAGCAGGGGAGGGAGGGAAGTGGGAAGAGGTGGGCAGCCTCTGCAGTAGGCCTGAGGCCACATTAACTTGTTACCTGCCAAAACAGTTTTTAATGGGCTTATATACCCTGCCTCTGACCTACCCTGGCTGTGTAACCCTGACCAAAGGTCATGTCACTGATTCCAGGCAACTGTTAAGACAGAGAGTAGGGGGAGTTTTCTTACCTAAGAGTTTCCTTTGCCAGTAAAATCACAGGTCCAGAATCTGTCCCTATTTTTAAAAAATGAAGGAGGATCAGCCAGGAATCATAGTGGATAGAACAGTAGCCCTGGAGTCAGGAGGACCTGAGATCCAATCCAGCCTTACTCACTAGCTACGTGACCCTGGCCAAGTCATTGCCTCCAAAAAATAAAACAAAATGAAGGAGAGGCAGCATATGGTGGAAGAGTGTCTGAGCCTCAGTTCCTTTATCTGGAAAATGGGGTTAATAGTAACGCCTGTCTCCCGGGGTGAGGCCCCAGCAAGGTCATGTTTAAAAAATGCTTTGCAACCCTTCAAACACTATAGAAGTGATACCTGTGATCATTATGGTGTTTGTCCAAATCCAGCTTCACCCTATCCTCTTGCGTTGCAGAGAATATCTATATCATGAAAGCCGACACAGTGATTGTTGGGTCTGTCACTAGAGTGTCCGAGGGCAGGAACCCCGTCGTGACCTTGGGACTTGAGGAGACAGCCCTGGAGACAGACCAGTCTACCCATTATCCAGAGCAGGAGACGGAGCTGTCCCCTGGGGGCCACATTGAAGTCATGTTCTCCGTGGAGGAGGAAGGGAAGGAGTACCACTGGCCAACAGCTGTGTCTGCCAAGTGAGGGCCAGAGGAAGGAGGCCAGGCATCTCTGAGAGTGAGCTGGGGAAGCTGAGATAACAAGCCGGTTGGAGCTGGGGGCCATCTCTGCAGCCCATGGGTCTCAGGATCGGAGCCTGAGCTGACCTTCCTGAATTGCTTTATGGATTACCCTGGAATGTTTCTGAGGGCATTCTGACTTTGGCTAGATGCTGATACGCTGTCACAGACCTACCTTTTAAAGAAAGAAGAGACTTAAGGACAAGAAGGATGCTGAAGAGTCTGACAAAAGGTTTAGTTGGCTGGGGGAGACACAAGGGTTTCCATTGCTTCCCTGGAGTCCAGGCCTAGACCACCCAGGCACACTTGGCTGCCTCCGTCAGGGAGCTTGGAATCCATTCTGTCCAGAGTGGCAGAGGCCAAGCAGCTAGCTTTGGCCCCAAGCCATTGCTTACTTTTCCCGATACCCAACACTCTGGAGTCCCCTTCCTGAAATGTTTCCTGGGGCCAGACTGGCACATGCCTCACTGTAAACATACCCCTTGGAGAATGTGGGTGCCTCAGAAGTAGACTTTCAGCCAGTCCCCTGTGGTCATAGCACTTGACTCAAAAGGGAAGTCGAACTGGGATTTGTGTTCACAGTATGGTGCCTGCTCTTCAGATCTTGTGAGCCCTGGGCAAAGATCAGTGGGTCGGAGGTTCAGGGGCACTCCTGCCTGGCAAGCAGGTACCGCTGACCACTTCCACTGATGGAGCCCCATGGACCCACCCATCCCAGTGATGTCTGGGTGGATACCAGGTGCTCGTCTCCAGTGTCATCTTACTTCATACCTGCTGCTTCCTCAGTCTCCCTGGTATTGCCCGACAAGAACACCATTTAGGACATGAGATATTCTAGCAGGCAGGGCTCACCCATCATCTGGAGTAGAGGCCTCCTAGACACTGAGCCCCCTACCTTCCTTCCCCTCTGGCTTAAACTAAAGACCATGAAGGAGAACCTTGGAGTAAGAGAAATCCAGGTTCAAGTCTCACCTGATACTTAGCGGCATGTCATTTATAGATGAGGAAACTGTAAAGTTTCCTTTACAGGCAAAGTCATTTAACTTCTGTTTGCCTCAGTTTCCTCATTTGTAAGATAAGAGGTGATCATCTCTAACTCCCCACTCTGAGAAGTAGAGGGAAGCAGTGTAGGAAAGAGAAAACAGGAAAACCACAAAAGACACTGAACTAGGCCTGCCTGGAGTCTGGTTCTTCCGTATGCAGCCTTCCCCCTCTCTTAGAGGGGGTTGATTGCCCCTCCCAGAATGATAGAGAAGTAACTTTCACTAAGGATTGCTGAGCTTGAAGAATGGTCTGGCATGCTCTTGGGGGTCAGTGGCTCAGCAAACCCTGGGCATAGTGGGAGGCTTTGGACCTTTGTACCGTGATTTTAGGGTTTGATCTGTGCTTATCTTGAACCTCTGCATACAGGGAGGGAAGGATGGCAAACAATCCATCATTTGCATTGGTATAGATATCTGTTTCCAAATTCTGTGGATTGAGTAAATGTTGCTTGGTCCAGGAATGACTGATAAGAGAACTTGTGTTTGCATTTCCACAAGTTTCTTTGCATTTCTCGTGTTTGCATTTCACCTTTAGGACTCAAGCCCAATCAATACATGTGGGCTGATAACATTTCTAGTTTAGTGTACATGGCAAAAAGAAAACTGAAAATATCATTTCATACATGTGTGACTGGAAGGAGCCACAGAGGTCATCTAATCCAACCTTAGTTTGGGGTTCAGGCCCCAGTTCTGATGATTACTACTTATGTGACTTTGGACAAGTCACTTAATTTTGCTGGCCTCAGTTTCCTCATCTGTAAAATGAAAAGGTTGGACTATATCTGAGGTGTCAAACTAGGTCAGCAGCTGTAAGTCACCAGCAAAACTCCCTAGTCCCAAACCAGATTAAAATGCAATTTGGAAATATTTAACAAAACAAATAAAAATATAAAACAACACAGATAATGTTAATTTGTGGTTTTCTAAGTCATATGCCCTGGCAAGAATCTATTTCTATTTGAATTTGACACTGATGGATTAGGTGACTTCTGAGGGACCTTTAAGCTCCAAATCAATGAAAACTTCCCCATTTTACAGATCAACAAGCTAAGCCCCAGAGAGGTTACTTGTCCAAAGTCACAGAAGCAGTAAGTGGCAAATCCAGGATCCACGTTCTCTCGCGCCAGATCCAGAACTCATTCCCCCTACACCACATCAGAATCACAGAATTGGAGAGATTGGCATCAGTTACTGTAAACACTTCTGATTCTTTTCCTTGCTCAGAGTTAATTATGAACTCTGGATCAATGCTGAAGCATCTCTAATAAACCTTGGTTTAGCCTCCTAGTTGTCTGCATGTCAGTCATTTTGATTGGCAGCAGTACCTGTCAAGGATTCCATGGATATTTCCATAACAGCAGAATCGCAGAATTGAAGACTGGTAGCAGAATCACAGACTGGAGAATTCCCACCCAGCTACTTTCCTGGACTTCATCATCTCCAGAAACTCATCATTCTACAAGATGGGACCAATTTATAAACTCATACCTCCTCAGAACTGTTCCCACCATCTGCAGGACTTTGTCATGTGCCCCTGCTCTGCATAACCTTCCCTCCACCCCACCCCCACCACTCACAGGTGTTGTAACTTCTTTCAGATTGTGAAATCTTCGAGGGCAAGAATTGTCTTTTTTTAAAAAAACTTTTTAAAAATAAGTTTTTATTGATCTTTTCTATTCTTGCATTATCATAGTATCCTATGTATTCCTCCCCCTCCACTTCCCAGATCCCATAAGACAAATAGTGTTTTTAGAGGGAAAAAAAGGCAACCCAACTATTCGATACATTGAAAAATTCTGAGAACATGTGCAATGTATAACACATGTGGACCTTCACCTCCATGAAGAGCGAGATGGGGGGAATGTGTCCTCATATCTCTATATTGAGTCCTACTTTTAGTAATTTTGTTGCATTTATTTTTTATTTTTTGGCCCGTCACCATTCTGTCCACTTACATTGTTGTAGTTACTGTGTATCTTGTTTTCTCAGCTTAGCTTACTTCATTCTGTATCAATTCACAGGAGTTTTTCCATACTTCTCTATATTCATCACACACATCATTTCTTACAACACAATCATCTTCCATTACACTCGTAAACCACAATTTATTTAACCATTTCCCAACTGATGGGAATCTACTTTGTTTCCAATTCTTAGTTATCAGGAAAAAAATGCTGCTATAAACATTTTGGAGTCTATGGAAACATTTTTTCTTGTCAATGGCTTCTTCGGCATATAAGCCCAGCAATTGAGTCTCTGGTTCAAAGGGTATAAACATTTTAGTAACCTTATTTGCATGATTCTAAATTGCTTTCCAAAATGGTTCTACCATTTCTCAGCTCCAACAACAATGTATTAGTGGATCTATCTTTCCACAACCCCTCTAACATTGACTATTGCCATTTTTGGTCATTTTTACCAATATGCAGAGTATGCGGTGAAACTTCAGAGTTGTTTTGGTTTGTTCTTGTTACTAGTGATTTGGAGCATTTCTTCATGTTGTAGTGAATACTTTGCAATTGTTCTTTTGGGAACTGCTTATTCATATTCTCTGACCATTTAGCTACTGGAGAATGACTATTATTCTTATACATTTATGAATTGTGTGTGTATATGTATATGTACATATGTATATATACATATATATATAGAGAGAGAGAGAGATTACCAACTCCTTATAAGAGAAATTTGATACAAAGATTTTTCCCCCCATTCAACCATTTCCCTTCATTATCCTATATGCATTAATGGGCAACAATTGTCTTGAGCCTTTCTTTACATCCCCAACATTTAACATAGTGCCTAGAGCATAGTAGGTACTTAATAAGTGTTTATTGACTATAAGTTGGAGGGTCCTCATCTAGTTCATTCAACTCACAAATGAAAAGGAAGCCCTACTCTAAAATACCAAGTTGTGGTCTAGATTCAAGGCCTGGTTCTTTCATTCATGAGCTTTTGTGATCTTTGAACAAGTCAATTAACCTCTCAGCCTCCTCCTCTGCCGCTTGATAAGATTGGATTAGACTCCATGGCAATTCTTAACCTGAGGCCTGTACTTTTTTTTTCCATTTAAAATAATGATTCTGAGAAATGGTCCATCAGTTCCACCATATTGCCTACGCAAAAGAAATGTGAGATAGGCAAATTTAATGACATCTCCACCCCAAATGTTCACATGCACTGTTTGTGCCCGACCTGTGGTAGAGCCTTCCAAGCTTGTATTGGTCTGATCGGCCACAGTTGGACACACAGTACCTTGACTCTAACATAGTGATGTCATTTTCATCCTCTTTGAGAACAAAGGACAACAACCAACCAATTGCCTACCCAAGGGGTTCAAGAAACAGAAGTTTAAGAACTCTTGGGCCCAAGGATCCTGAAAGTCCCCTCTTGCTCTGATAGTCTATAAGACTAAAACTCAATGCCCCAAGCTTTCCTTCCAACAGATAATTAGCCTTGAGAATAAAAGTAGCTATGGAAATAAGTCACGGTGTTCGTTGTCCTTCCTTAGTGTTGCTGGGAGCCCGCATTCGTCATGGGCAAGTTTGAGGTGTTTGGGTCTACCCCTGCTAGGTCTCAGGCTGTTAAAAAAAAACCCCGTTTACTCATCAGACCACATTCTTTAGAGGAACTTGGGGTCTGGATCACGAGTACTCTTTTGAAATCACCCACAATGTTTTGCCCAAATTGGAAATTCAGAGAGAATGATACACTGGGAGACGTGGTAATATCAAAGCTGAGAACACAGTCCCAGACTGGGGTAAATTTGAAATACCATTTTCCTTC